ATCGTGCTGTTCATTACCTTGAAAACATCATTTTCACCATTCTAAATTGCCAGTAATTCGTTGCAGATCTTTCCTACCATGCGTTTTTTCATGATTGTCAAATCACTGCTGATGCCCTAGTGCAAATGCATTAGTTGTTTTAACACAAGTAAATTCCCGTCGTTTGCATTTTGCGTTTACTTTCTGCGAAAAGATCGATGAGATAATTTATTATTTGTAATTTATTATTTATTTCGGTGTTTTTGCGTGATTTACTATGCGTAGGATGATTTTTTATTGTTCATGCTGTTATTTCGATATGTTTGCGATATAATGCTGATGTATCACTGATGCATAATAAATATATTGTACAAAAATTCGCCATTTTTCATCGTTTTTCGGCTTTTTCTGCCATGCTATTGTTTTTGAATGTGATCTTAGCATCAACATTCTTGTTTATTGCTCATTTAAAGTTTAAGTAAGTTCTCTGTTTACTGAATTTGACCGACATGACTGCTGTAACTTAGCGCTGGTACGCCAAATTCTCCACTTTTGGGCTCTTTACCTTGAGCTGTTATTCGTGGTAAATACGGCTTTCATCTGTTTGCAAAGATTCGTAATTTGCCGAGATTGTTTCGATTTTATGAAATTCAGTCATTTTTTCTGTTCAGATCAGTTTCGAGTGAAAACAATTTCGTATCACACCAAATTCAGCGAGTTCCAGGTATTTACGTCGTACATTTTTATGGCCACTCCAACAACTTGCACCTTAGTTGTTGATGAATGTTTTGTAATTAAAACTTGTTTGCAGGAAAATGTCATCGATTGATGTGGCCGAAATTTTGCGCGGCTCCGCTGAGGTAAGCGTATTACGCATATCTGCTCACACATTGTAAATGTGGGATATACGGATTTTGGTGGATTAATTATGTTTTAAAAACGAAAGCTAAATTTGGGCTTAAGTTTCTTTTTATTGCGAACTACAGGTACCAGTGAAGCGCTCTCGTAACGATGTCACTGGCGTATCGGTGAACACCACAAATGCGGAGGATATATTAGCAGCGCTGGAGCGTGATGACTCTCAAGCAGTTATCATCGATGAAGTGGTTGTTAAAAAGATTGTTATGCAGGTCAGCGCAGAATCTTCCCTTTTCAGTATTTCAATTTTTTTGCTGCTAGCCTCACTGCTGCATTTGCTTCAGTACTGCTTCTTTCATCCGTTAGCCTTTTTGCATATTCATTTCTACCTTCCCCAAATGTGTGGGTGTTTGCATGTTTGATGAACGTGAGCTGATTTTTCAGCTCGAAAAGAAATGCCTCAGAAATCGAGAAATGCGCATCAAATACGGTGATGAGCCAGCGAAGTTCATGGAAAGTGAAGTTGAATTGAATGAAGCAATTCAGGTACGATATTTCTGTGCTACACTGAACTGACATATGCAAGAGGAACAGTGATGTGTAAATTTACTCCGCGTACATACCTAAATAGCGTTAAAATCAATATGCATGAAAAGTTATCTGAAATTACAGCTTAAAATCCACTGAGGACAAAAAGCCAGCAAGAGGACTGTGAGGATTCTAGATCTAAGTAGCTTTGTGAAC